GAGATGAAGCGGCAAGAAATTCGGGTCCGACCTCCCCCCATCAGTGGACTCGGCATCAGGGGTTCCAGGGAATATGATGTCGTCCTTAACCTCATAGGCCACGTCCATGCCATCCACCACCATGCCGGGATTCAAAATCTGAGCCTGAGCAATAGCGTTGTCAAAAGCTTGAATAACGGCCCTAGCAACCACGGCCTTAACCTCTTCAAAGTCGGCCTGCAGATCTGAAAGTCGGGCATCCTTTTCGGCAATAGACTCCGAGAAGGACTCCTTCTCGGCACTCAAGTCATTAGCCTTGCCGGTAACCACCTCCAAATCTTTCTTAGCCTTATCTAGCTCAGAGGACAACTCTTGAACTCTGACCTCCAAATTTGACTTAGACCTGCTCAACTCCTCCACCTTGGTAGTGAGAGATGAGTTAGAAGCAATAGACAAGTCGAGGCTCTGATTGAGATCCTGAAAGGTTTGAAGCAACGAGATCGTCTTCAAAGAATCCTCCTCCATCCGTGCCAGCATGGCCCTCACAGTAGAGGTCAAGCCCGAACCACCAATGAGCCCAGGAGGAGGCTTTAATACGGCCCTAAGACGGTCTGAAACCCCCGTTCTCCATAATTCCCCGGGCTCAAGGTTGATCAAATTCCCTTGAGGAGCGGTAGGAGGAACTGAAAGCGGTGATAAAGGAGGAGTCTGAGCACCAACCATGGTCACACCGGCGCCGGCCGAGCTCCCGCCGAGTATGGAATCTATCCGCCTTTTCTTCAAAGCCTCCGACTCGAGAGGAGCAGTTTCTTTCGACTTCCCTTTTCTGGTCTTCTTGGGAAAAAACTTCTTGTATTCAGCAGAGGTCATGCTGACTGCAAAAGGAAAAGAAAAATCAGAATGTAGGTTATAAATCCGCAAGACAAGGTTATCTACAATAAAAAACAAAATGAGCTACATACCAAGCTCATAAATGGCATCCTCCCCAAACTTATCTATAATCCGACTCAAGTCAAAAGCGCCAAATTCATCGGTATATTCAATAAGAACTCGGACTGCTAGAAGTTCCGAGCTGGAAAGTGCAGATAAGGGGATATCATAGTCTTTTGGACGCCTTTGATAATGTTTCTGCGTCCAGTATAATTCAAACCAAGATGATATGCCACCGTCGTCAAGCCAACTCTCGGCAAACCAAGGGAGGGACTCAGAATGGGATACCACCTTAAAGTAGGCATCCTTGAAGCCCTTGAAAGATTGGGAGTAAGGAATAAAAATCCCCCTGTCTGGGGTACCTCGTAAGGTAACCCACCCCTTCTTCTCCTTAGACTCGGCGCCATTACGAAAAGTATACACATCAAAGAAGAAGAAAAAGAGAGCAACAGTGCAGGGGAGGTACAGGTAGGCACACACCTGCTCAAAACCCCGAATGAGAGCCCATGAATTCGGGTGAAGTTTCGAGGGTGCAACCCTAAGACGTCGGAGAACCGACGTTTGAAAGTCTGTAAAAGGAAGCCGGATACCCAATTTGGTAATGAGATCCCTGTAGAAATAAAAAAAATGGGGCTCGTCCAATATGGGACCTGAGCATACTGGAGAGTCGCCGGGTGGAAGAAGATCAACCCCATTGGGATCTCCCGCTGGGAGTTGGGCCACCTCGGCAGAAGACATTGTGGACCGTTTTTGGAGAACCTCGAGAAGGACCCAATCTTGAACGTTGGAACCATCCATAACTATATCCCTGGAATATGAAGGACAAAGGTCAGTACACATATCAACCACATCCGACCTTGGACTACCAACGTCGGATTACAACGAAGACGGACTCCAAGAAAGAAGAATAGAGCTATCTGAACTACTGACAAGGTCAACAAATGAGACCCGACTCGATGCAGAATCATCTAAGAAGGAAGGGATGACCGACTTGGGAAAACCTAGCTCGGTCGAGGAAAGGCTGGAAGAGCTAGCGCTCAAGTCAAGAGGAGGAATCCAGTCTAAAACGGATCTCGTACCCGAGACCACCCCAGAAGATGGAAGTATATAGGACAGCGGGACTGGTTCTGAAGAGGAGCTCAATCTGGGAGCTGAAGGATTCACTAAAGGAGGACTACTTGTTCCAAAGTTAAGGCAGGACTGACGACCCCCTCCTGACCGACCCACTCCCCTCCTACCTCGGCCTCCACGAGAACTGCGACGGCCTCCACGGGGACCACAGAGAAGCTGTTGAAGCTTCTCCTCCTCGGTGTATTCCCTACCAAAAAACCTGTACTGAACAGAGCGAGGCAACTGACTCACCACCTCTTCTCTCTCCTTGCCACCTAGACTGGGTGCCGGACCAGAGGAAGAACTAGGGGCACTCATTATAAACCCCCAAGAACAGAAAAGGAACCCTCAACACTTCGAAGAAGAAAGTATAAACCTCACCTTCAAGTTTAAACAGAGGTAACTACTCAATGCAACCTAACCCAACAAAAAAAAAAAGATTCGTAAAAGCAAAGAGAATAGGAAGGTACCTGAACTTAGAAGCAAGGATGATGGGAACTAGACTCAATGTGTGAAAACCTTCACTGGAAGTGAGGAGAGCTCCAAGAGAGTTTATAAAACACAGAACCAGAACTGGAAAATGATTAACATCAAAAGCTCACTGTGAAACCAGACGAATGTAAAAGTTTTGAACCCATTCGAAAGCTGGTATTTAAAGGACGACGAATTGCTTAAGGCGCGAAGGCGAAGAGTTTTTCCAAACGGTTAAGTGATGGAGGGCAAAAAGGGGATTTCACCCTGAATGCATTAAATGCACTTCATCATAACCTGCATAAAGATAAAGCAGCACGCCCTGCACGATGCACGAACGGCCAATGAGCGCGAAGCACGTGGAACGCCATAACCGTCACAGCAAACGTGATACGAAAGGACAGGATAAAATGATAAGGCCAAATTTCGACTTCCGTGTTCAAACAGCGCCTAGACTTCAAAGGTCGGGAAAAGTAGGGCGTAACTGAAGGTCGCAACGTGACTTAGAACGTCAACTCGATCCAGCACTAGGAAAACAAAGCTCGGATCAATGGTATTCAAAAGTTCACAATGAGTTCAGGAAATATCCGACATGCTTACATCCGACTTCAAACGCAAACACCATGGAAGGTCAAGAGGCGTAGTGAACGTAATCTCGACAAAACAACTGAGTCAGAATGCTGACGTCGAAAAACTCGGAAGTCCAAACCCGAGAACAATGAACGCGGATAAACTGAATCCGTGATAACACAATGGCACCTCGACATGCCGGACCCCGGAATACCGAGCTGGGGGGCAACTGTTATGGATATGAATATCATATCCCAACTACCTACTAGAATATCTGGTGAGATATGGAATCAGCAACATCTCAACAACTCCAAACAGCCAAAGGGTATAAGATAAGGATCACATCCCAACAGAAGGAGGTTGAATCCTACTACAATTGGGGAATCTCAAAAGGTCCAAGCCTAGGAAGGTAATCCTATAAATAAGAGCCTAAGGACTCTAGGTAAACACTCAGAATTCATTTACTACTTTTGCCCACGCTGTGCACACACCCACCTCTTGGCTATAAGCCTATTGCTTGTGCCCAGTGATTGGGACCTCAGCTATAAGCCTAGTATACAGTTGATATACACTATCTCTGAGCGCATACCCTACGGTATAGCAATACGGTCTTTGCAGGACCTAACAGATCTCATATACTTTTATGTATTTGAATATAAGAGATAATTTTATCTCTTATAACATAAGAAACATTAATCTCATATCTTAATAATATAAATTGTCCATAAAGTTATGTTAAATAATCACTTGGACCATCTTGGAAGCATAATTTGTTCGAATAATGAGTCCACTAATTCTATGCATGCGTTTTTGCTCAAAATGTATGTTACAAGCATTCATCATTATGTTACTAATAATTCCGGAAAACATACATAAATCATGTTTTGGTACGACTCAGGAGAAAAACTTTTTTTTTTTTTTTTGAGATTTTTGGTAATCCCATAGGTTCCTTATGGACCAGGATAAAAACTTTGGTGCACCAATTTAGTGCTCCATTTTATTAAAAAGGGAAAAAATTACCTTTTTATCCATATTTTTTTTATTTTATATTTCCCTATAAGCTCTAAATAATTTCTCTTTTTAGTAAAAGATAGCATGGAGTTTGGTGCTCTCGATATACCAAAGTTTATTCTTTTTTTCATGTGTTTATATTTTTTTGTCTCATTTTTAGTCATTACTTCTGCTTTACTAAATTATTTATACAATTAAGTGAAAATAAAAGCAATGGAAAAATGCAGGACATAATTTAAAGAAAATAATGTTTCTCGTTCAGGAGATAAATTTATCTTCAGTAACTTTAAACGATATTGAGAAAAAATACAGGATTTTTTAAAAAATTTACTTTTTCTTTCATATCAAGAATCTTATTAAAAAATTCTGGTATTTTTTTTTTCTAAACCCCAAAAAAAGATCGCTTGAAAAATTAAAATAAATTCTAAGATGTTGAGAACAAGAATAGGAAGAAATCAAAAAGCGGAAGTTTTATGCCATATAATATATGGAATAATAGATTGTAGGAGATAAATTTTTTCCCTTACACATATAAAAGTGTGTGGGATCCATATTTTTTTTTTTTCTCTTTCCTGACTTCATATGATACCACATGAGCCCTACAAGATAAAATTATCTCCTATATAAAATATGAGAACATTAATCACATATAAAATGGTCTCGTGCAAATAAGAGAGTGGAACCCACTAAAAAAGTGATAACAAATACCGAAGTAGACAGAACCTCACAAGAACAAAAGATAAAACTGCATACTTTCCATCGATTTAATCAGCAAAACATCAAAAAGTGCACGATCACAGATGATACTAGCTAGAAAATAAAGCATCACTGATACTATCTCATAACTTAGAATTTAATTTTCAACTTGTATGAATTGTGTATCTCACACTAAATTGATTAACCACATGAAGGAAAAAAAAAAAAAACAATCAAGGCGTGAACTCTTGATTTGCCTCCGGCTTCTCATACTCTTCAACGTTGTCAAACACATTTTGGTACTGATTCTTCTTATAGTAACCACCATTTTTACTGGTTGCTCTCCCTGATTCGAACCCATTGAGGTTGTAATTCTCGTCATCATTATTCACTTGATAATTGTACTTGCCATCCTCAACGAACCTTGTGTCACTCATTTCTTCTCTCTTACCCTCGTAGCCATTGCCATTGTAATTGTTGTTGTAGTAGTTTTCTTTGTCATTGTAGTTGTTGTTATAGCCATTGTTGTGATTGCTCCTGTACTCTTCCTTATTGAAGTTGTCTCTGTCCACTTCATTGTTGTAGTTGCTGTTGAAGTTGGTCTTGGGATAAACAGTTTTGTAGCTCTCATCATTGAAGTCTTCATTTAGGAGCTCATTTTCAAAGTTTGTGGTGGTAGGAGTGTCCTTGATGGGAGAATATTGTGTAGAAGTTCTACCAAAATGGCAGCATTGGATCAATTGCTGGTGTGGCTACAGGTACTGAGGTTGGTGCTGTTGGATAAATATATCCTCTGTTTCTTACTCTCATCCCAAGAGGTGCTAGTGATGGTGCTGTTGGATAAATATAACCTCTGCTTCTTACTGTCATCCCAACAGGTGCTAGTGATGGTGCTGGTGTTGGTGTTGTTATTGATGCTGGTGATGGTGCTGACCCAGATGATATTATTGGATCAATTGCTGGTGTGGCTGCAGGTACGGAGGTTGGTGCTAGTGATGGTGCTGGAGATTCACATTTTGGTTTCTGGGGCAAAACTTGAGAACCTTTGACATCATAGGTGTTTCTTGGAAGGGTAAAGAAGTTAAAGGGCTTGCCCACTCTGGCATGAATTTGGGGGGACAGAACAACAACAAAGAAGAAAAAGAATGAGAGTTTCATTCCAAAAGAAGCCATTGTGTGAAGAGACAATGACAATGAGAGATGAATACTGTTGAGAGAATGAAATTGTTAGGCTTATTTTATAGAGCCAGCATGCTCATAAATCAAAGGAAGAGTAATTAATGCTGACGAGAATAAATGTCGTAACTATTAACAGAAAATAATTTAATTCAAAGATATAATTATTTTTCATGTGATTTTCAAATGTGATTACTCTGTAATCAAATATAAATTTAAATAGTTTAATGTGATTGAGGGTTGAAAATAAGGGGAATGATGGTGGGAGCGTAAAACTTTGAAACTGTAAAGCAATATTCGACTGATTGAGCGTTATAAGATAAAAAAAAAATCTACACGAAACATACTTATCTTCCTATTTTATTAAAATTATATTTGATTAGTCATTAATTCTGTCTGTAAAATTAATGCTAACGAGAATAAAATTGAAAGTTATTCAATATTAGTCAGGGAATCATGTAATTGAACCAAATAATGGTAGTTGAGTTGGTGCAATAAACATATGTTCAATCCTCCTCGTGATGATTAATAGATTAGAATATTTAAAAAAAAAATCATGTAATTGATTGGATTTTGATGAATGTGAAATAAACTTGGCTATTAACCAAAAGTAATTTGATGCAAAATATGATTGTTTTCGGCTCCATTCGATAGTAAATTTAACCAAATTTAAACAATTCAACCAATTTAATTTACTGTGATTTAGGATTGAAAAACAAAGTTGGAAAAAAGGGAGAAAAAAAAGGACAAAATAAGTGAGAGAGTGAAACTTGAAAATTGGGAAGCAATATTGCGATTGATTGAAAGTTGTTGGTAAAAAAATATTGAAATACTATTTTAGGTTAGCTGGACACATATCTACCTTTTTCATTTTTTTAAAAATGGATAAATTAGTCATTATTTGATCAGTATAATTAATTTACTATCTTATAAATTACTAGAATTTGATTGGCCAATAATATTAATGAGAATAGAATGAAAAGTTATTTAATCTATTTTTTATGAATCATACAAATGCGCACACATATATATATATATAGGGATAAACTATTCTGCATACTCTTATTTTGCTTATATTTGCCTACCTCTCTCAACACTATTAGATTAGATTACAATCTTATCGTACGGTCGAGATTTGCGGAATAAATATTTTTCCCCTTTCTTTCTCCTCATTGCCTCCCAGGGTGAAACTGGGCCGGGCCGACCTACAGGGGCCTACGGCTCGGCTTACGTCAGGTCAGACCTGACTTAGTATATTTCGTAAAATAGGTCGGGCTTGGGCCTTGAAAAAACTTGTTTAATAAAAAGGTCGTAGGCTCACATTCACAAGCCCTGGCCTATAAGCCTACATGCCACCTATATTGTACTATTTATTTTAAATATAATATAATATAATAAGCATGCTTTGAAGAAAAAACAAAAGATATAAATTTAATCAATTACAATTATTTATAACTTAATTATATTTGATTATATTTTAATAGAAACCTGACTTTATTTCTTATGTAGGAGGAACCAACATATCAGCATGTTAGATTGTTTATATGAATATATTAAAAGGTTTTTGGGAGAGATTGTACATACTACGAGCATCATGATGTGTTTGTTGGATTCATGTAGTTATTTTAATTTACATAGTATGGATTTGTTTGTTGGATCTGATGAAATATATGTTATTTAGTTTGAGCATTTTGCTTTTGAAAGTGACTTAAATACAGATTGTATGAGTTTTGCTGTGATTCATGATTTGTTTGGATGTTGAAATTATGATTTTTGGTTTGGCAACAGAATTTGAGTATTTTGTAAGGTTGCTTCATGGTTCTGCTTTGAAGTTAAAAATTAACAGGCTAAAGGGCTAGGCCAGGTCATTTGTTTTTTAATAAACGGGCCAAGCCAGGCTAACAGTTAGACTCATACTAAGCTTGAGCCACACCCAATTGAAATTTTTTGGCGTAGGCTTGGGCTTTTCGGGGCAAAGCTTGACCCAGCCCAACCCACTTTCACCCCTACCTCCCATTCTCTTTCTTTCTCCTCCATTTTCTCTCTATCGATTTGCGTAATTTACAACCTATATTTATATTTGAATCTAAATTCATACAATGATTAATGGCATAATAGTTCTACTGGATGAATATAATTTTCAAAATTTCTTGAATATTATATAATTGAACACGACTGAAACCACATAAATACAAAAAAAATGAAAACCACGAATAATCCCTTTCTTTGAATTAATCCACGAATACCGTAACGTTTCTACTTTATCGTTGAAATTTGAAATCGAATCAACTTATCTCCTTCTTCTTATCTTGTTTTTCATCTTGAAGTGGAGAAATGATCTTTGTTCTCTCTATGTTACGCCCAACAACAGACCTACATGGTTTCAAAACATAAGGTATCTGAGTTTATTTCTTCTTGACAACCCATTTTAATTTTTTATATAAATGTTTATAACAATGACTGGGTTGGATGAAATAAGAAAAAAACTTGCACATTTTTGGATGCTAAAGCACCATTGAAGAAAGAAAGGGGAGGAGAGAGAAAGAATGAGAGGAAGTGGGAGAGAGAAAGGGATAAAAGAGTTTATTTTATATTGTAAATCTCCACGAGATTGTAATCTAACATTATTGAGAGAGGTAGACAAAGATAGTTAAAATAAGGGTAGGCAGAATAACCTGCGACATAATTAAAATATGGGATAGGTTAATGTCTTAAATAGTGGATGATGAAATGAGAATCAGGGTTATTTTGTCTTAAAACAAATAAATATGCTTAATCGTAATTCTTTGGAAGTATAAGGGGTTAATTGATTGAATTGGACGTGGAGGGTGGTGTTTTGAAAGAGCAATTAACTATAAGGTGGTTTCATGTAATTTGTCCTAAACTAAATTCATAATAACATACACAATTAATAAAATAATTTGATCCATATATATCAACAAAAGGCATTGGCTTAATGATAAACTAAGGGCTGTTTGGTACACGGATTTTTCTCGGATTCTTGGGAAACTGAATTTTTTTAAATTTTAAATTTTCAGATATTATCGTAAACTGAAAGTAAAAATCATATTTTTGAAAATCGATATTCCCGAACAAAAAAAAATTTCTCTTATACCAAACGCTCCCTAAATGCATTTTCCATATCATGTCATACGTTCGAGTTTCAGTCTGCATTTCCATAAATATTTTTCAAAAGCATCCCTGTCAAATCGGCGATTTCACAGTGGTTTGCATACAGTCTGATGACAAGTGCAGACTGGTTGGTGTTCTGATTTTCAGTTGAACAAAAGGGGGGACGCGGAAGGTAATAATAGAAAAGGTGAATGTTCTATTCAGTTTACCAACATCCGGGGATCAAGTGACGAAGGAACACAGTAAAGAAAGAATCGTAATAAAGGAGTCTTTTAAATATTTTATCACACTGTAATTTCATCCTTAGAAGAAAGTAGTATGATTGCATTGATAATTTTAGGAATTAGTATTTCTTACGTTGCACAGATAATTATCTTCTATACATAAATAATAGTGTGTGAGACTTAATTTTTTTTTTTCTTCTTTTCACATTACTGCACATGAGTCTCGTATACTTTTATGTATTTGAATATAAGAGATAATTTTATCTCTTATAACATAAGAAACATTAATGTCATATTTTAATAATATAAATTGTCCATAAAGTTATGTTAAATAATCACTTGGCCCATCTTGGATGCATAATTTGTTCGAATAATGAGTTCACTAATTCTATGCATGCGTTTTTGCTCAAAATGTATGTTACAAGCATTCATCATTATGTTACTAATAATTCCGGAAAACATACATAAATCATTATTTATTTATTTTGTTAAATCTTTTTTTTTCCAGTTTTAACTACTGATATGAGTCCGTCCTTTGCTTTTCGAAATTGATTGGCTGACTTAACGCAATCTTTAGTGTTTCTAGTTTGTTAGACGACTATAATAAAAATGGAAGTTTGAAAGGAAAAAAGGAAAAAAAAGTATGTAAATGATAGCGTGAAATTTGGAAAATTGAAAACAATATTGCACTGATTGAATCAATAAGGGAAAAAAAATTAAGTTACTATTATGGATCATAGGAATCATATTTATGATTTACCTTAAAATTTTATTAAAATTAAATTTGATTAGTAATTATTCAATCAATTCAATCAAAGCTAATTGATTTCCCTTTTAAACAATTACTAGTGCAGAGTCCAGACTGTGCAGTACCCGTGCGATGCACGGAGAAAAAAGATCAAAAAATTTGTCGGCATATGTCATCGGTTAATCGCTAAATGAAAGAATCGTGTTAGTATTTTGTCCTACATAGGGAGGTGAAAAAGCTACAACACTCACATAGAACTTTGTAAGTATCTACTACAAACAAAATTCTACAATTAAGAAACATCAATTATTTCAGAATCAATGCTATTCAAGGTTGAAAACTTCACAATTAATACAAATTATATCATTTATTATTTCCATTCAAGGTTGAAAACTTCCTAATTAATACTAATTATATCATTTATTATTTTTATTCAAGGTTAAAAACTTCCAAATTTCAGTTTCAATTTCTTAATCAATGTTATTTACTATTTTCTTTAAAGGAGAAAACTTTGAAATTTGAATTTCACAATCAATGCCATTCAAGGTTGAAAACTTTGAAAACTTCACAATTAATACTAATTATATCATTTATTATTTTCATTCAAGGTTGAAAACTTCCTAATTAATACTAATTATATCACTTATTATTTTCATACAAGGTTAAAGACCTCCTAATTAATACTAATTATTTTCATGCAGGGACACGGAAGCTAGGATGGTATTATTTCCCTTGACCCAAGTAATGGTGCTTGGCGAACTGCAGGTCAAAAAAATCAAATGTTGTTGCAGTCAACCATATCTTGGATTTAAGAGTGTGTTATAGACTTGAATCATAGCAATTTGAATCCCTAGCTACTTTTTTGTTTTCCCTTAATTTTATTATAGCATTCT